CTAGAGTAAAATACATTTTCCATAATATATGATTTGCATCCCCCTCTCACATATCATATACTTACACATAAAAATAATTAAAAATTAGAAACCTCCTTTTGTATACATATATATATATATATATATATCTGAGAGTACTTTTCTCTATATAAGAATATGGGAGAAATGGTTTCAAGTATTTATTTGATAGGTGACTTTAATACCATGTAAATCATCAATCAAATTTATCATCTGTAGAGACTAAATCAAGAAGATCCAATGCTTTGTGGACACAATTGTAGTATTGCTCATATAAAGTAATGAATATTTTATATATTAATTTTCTATTAGTATAAAAGATTTCATATGTATCATTTATTGAAGTGATTTCAAAGCAATCTAAAAAGAAATTAAGAAAGGAAAGCATTCTCAAAATACAAATGCAAAAAGAACATGATGAAGATGGGTTTAGGATAATTACTAGGTGCAATATATCCAATTGTAGGTATTGTCTCTATATGTGTTCTAGATTTCCCTTCATCTAAAAGTTTGGAAATCCCAAAGTCACTCACATGAGCAACCATATCACCATCCAACAAAATGTTACTTGGCTTCAAATCACAATGAACTATTGGTGTTGACAAGCTATGATGGAGATACTCCAAAGGAGATGCTACATTTATTATTATATTCAGCCTTTGTAGAAAAATCCAAATAATAGTTATAAGAATATAACCATTTTTCAAGGCTCCCTTTAGGCATGAAATCCATTATCAAACATTTGAAATCAACATTGGAACAACTACTTATGATCTTCACCAAATTATAATGGTGCACATTACGCATTATATTGCATTCCACTTCAAAGCTCCTTGACATTTTTTCAAAATCAAGATTAAATACTTTAATTGCAACCATCATCCCATTCAAAAGCTTTCCTTTGAACACATCACCATAACTTCCCTTTCCAAGAAAGTTACTCTCATCAAATCCATTAGTTGCCTGTAAGATTTCAAAATAAGAAATCCTTCTTGGCACTCCTAAAATTGATCAATTTCTTTCTAAAGAATCCCTAGAATTTGGCTGTCTTTGTCTTAAAAGGAGAATGCCTAAAACAATCAAAATTATTGACACAAATATGGGTAATGTGCACTTCAATAAAAGTGATCTTGCCAATGACCTTTTTCCTTTCCTACAAGGAGGTACTTTTAGTTCTTGTCTCCCACAAAGAGCTTCATTCATTATAAAAGATTCAGTAGTCAAATTTTTTAAAACACCTCTACTTGGAATCTCTCCTCGTAGTTTATTAAATGAGAGATTGATATACTTTAGATCAACAAGTGACTCCAAAGATATAGGAATCTCACCAGACAAATTATTGTAGGAAAGGTCCAAATTCATTAAACTTGGAATTTTTTCAAATGATTGAAGAATATTTCCTTGTAAATTGTTATGTGCTAATGAGAGATCTTGCAAAGTCTGCAAGCCACCTATGGTTGAAGGAATGATGCCTGAAATATGATTTTCTGACAAATATAATGATGTAAGAGCTTTAAAGTTGCCAATATTGAATGAAATATTTCCATCTAAACTATTGGAAGACAAGTTTACTGTAATAACTTAAAAAATTTAAAAAATTAGTGTAAAATAAATTTATATTAAAGTATTGTGATTTATTTTATTAATTTTGGTACAGATATCATGAGTAAGAGAGAAAACAGTGCTCTAGTGATGTGTGCGCTCGTAAATTTCTATCATATCTCCTTCAGTCTGAATCATCTTGGTCCAAGGAAAGAGATTTTTATTTTGCTTCAGCTTTGGTTAAATTACTATAATGCCCTTTTAAAAAATTTTAATTAATAAATAAATTAAAAAATATAACAACTGATTCTTTTGTCTACTCCTCATCTACATTTTCTCGACTACTCTAGAATGGGGAGGGACAGAAATTTGCTCTCCATTCTTCGTACACCCTCCACCTTCCTTTCCATTCTATCGTCGGTGACTGTGAGTGCTGGAGTCTTCCTCTTCATCCTCCTTTGCGACTAACGCCGGTGACTCCTTACTTTCTCGAGCTGGCTTATGTCTGAACTAGGGAAGAGTAAGAGAAAATCTGTCGCCCTCTTCCTCCTCTTCATAGCTCGCCACTGCCGTAGGTAAATACGAGAGCTCCGTCCATCACTCGAATTGTGAGTTCTTCTTTCCTTTATGCTGTCAATTTCCTCTTTTCTTTCCTTAGCTCACTGTTCTTCTTCCTCCTCTATTGCTAGCATGCTCTAGGTTATTCAATGTTTTACTATGGAAGTTAGTTCATTGTTGTAAGAGGTTCAGATTGAGGCTGTCTCTCTTCCCCTGCACCATCGCCGTTCTTCTTTTGCCTTGTCATTGGGTCTCTTATTCCTCATCTTGACTTGCTTCAAGTTTGTTTGACCCTCTCTTTTTTTCCTTGTATGTTCTGTTTGTGTGTGCATTTAGTGATGGAGATTGTGGTTTTTTTCCTAGCCTTGCTGTTCTGCATGTTCGAATATGGACAGAGAAGTTCAAGCAAGTTGACATATTAGTCTTTTGAGGATGATGAAGAAGTATGGACTTGAATTTTATTTGAGTTTAATTTTAATTTATATGTGAATGAAATTAGGGAAAACTAGACTCATTCAAAATATGGATATTGGAGAATTTTGAGAACAATTGTTGGGATGAGTGGAAGAATTGAAGCTTGGTATTAGTCAAGATTGGATGTTTGTGAGATATTCAATGAAATAGCTGTTGGAAGGAGTTGGCCCATGATGATTAAATATGTGTAATAATTTAATTGTTGTTGTTTAGAAAATTTTGGAAGGCACTTTTCTTTGATAGAAGTTGGAAGCATGGTCATTTCAAATACTGGTTTAGGAAAACTTTTAGTAAAGGAATTGAAAAGAAAAAAAACAGAAAAAACACTTGGTCTTATGGTCTAAATATTGTTTAAAATAAAGGATATTTGATAAAATGTTTGAAAAGAGAAATTTTGTATTTAAGTGGCAAAATATATGTGATAATATATTATTGTTGATTAAATAATCTTGAAAGACATTTTTTCTTTGCAATGAAAGTTAAGGTAGAATTTAACGGTTTTGGGAGAGATATTTGAGTTGATAATTCGAGAACCAAATTGCTATTTAGACATTCATTTGGGATATTTTAGGATGTTTGATGCCATACTAAGAAAGATAAAAGTGAAGGTTTTCTTTCTGTTATTTATCTAAGTTGCTTTGGATTGAATAGTTTGGATGGTAAATCATGTTGAGGAAGTGACAATGGTATTACTTGAATAATAGGAATTAAAGGACAAAGCACTGTTCCTAGAAGATTTGTTTGGAAGTAAATTATACACTTGGGAGCTCTACAGGTAAGTGAATAGTGTCCTAACTAATTTTTCAATAAAGATTTCCTTTACTACAATAGTACATTTGCTTGCAAAATTGTTTTAGTAACAATGATGTGGTTATTGAATAGTTTGTTTATTAAACTTCTTTATTTTGTGAAATTACCTTTTTCAATTTTGAAATTTTAATTATTAATAAATATAAGTTTGGACTTTGAATATGAGATTTCATTCTATCGAACATTGGATTGATACAAAGAATGATTCATGCGAGTTTGACTTTGAAAATGAACATTTTATTGTGAAAGTGATGATTTTCTCATATGTTTGAAAATGGATTTGAAGGGGACTTTACATAGAACACTGGTTACTAACGACAGTTTCGTTAGCCCTTGGCACGCCATGGTACACCTAGCTATCAGGCTACTTATAGGAGGTGCTAGTCCTATGCAATCGCCAACGCACGTGGAACGGGGGATGGTTATTTGTGAGCATAGTACTCACGTTTGTTTCGTGGCTTCAAGCCACATTTGGTTAGTAATACCCTCATGGACTATGTATCCACGTTTGTTTCGTGGCTTTAGCCGCGTTTAGTTATTTACCCTCGTGGATTGTGTGTCCACGTTTGTATTCGTGGCATCAGCCACGTTCGGTTATTTACCCTCATGGATTGTGTGTCCACGTTTGTATTTGTGGCATCAGCCGCGTTCGGTTATTTACCCTCGTGGATTGTGTGTCCACGTTTGTATTCGTGGCATCAGTCGCGTTCGGTTATTTACTCTTGTGGATTGTGTGTCCACGTTTGTTTATTATTCTGATAAGTCCCTAAAATTGTGAATTTGATTATTTGGTGATTTTATATTCCATTGGTTTTTATTTAGTAAATTTTTACAAATATTTATTTCATTTATGTGCTTTCTTAAAATCAAATGATAATAACATTTGTTATGATAGTGCAATGGTTTAAGATTTTATTTAAAATTTTATAGAGCTATTTTATTTTGAAGTTTGTTAAATTTTTATGGAAATTTTTGTCTATTTAAATTACATAATTATTTTAAACTTTCCTTTTTATTCATATTTAATTGTTTATTGTTGGGACGTGATTCACTAGAAAAAGTATTTTTGGTCTCAGATAATGTGAATGGCTTTGGACTTCTAGTTGATCATTGAGGTCTATCTTTTAACTTGAAGTGAAGAAGTTAATGACCACCCTCCTTTTGTTGTAAAGATTTAAATATGAAATTTTATTTTGTAAATTTTATTGTAGGAGCTCCACATAACTATAGTTAAAGCCTTTATATGTGTATTATGCTTGATTTGTTTGGTAGAAGGAGCATAGCTCCTTGTTGAATGCTATTTGTTACTAAAAGAAAATATTGTTGTAGAAATCTTGAAGTCTTATTTTGAGAATGGTCATGTTGAAATTTTAAAAATAAAATAAAATACAACCTTTTGCTTTTATTATTCATATTGAAAATAGTTCGATTTATTGTTAGATATATTTATGGTTCAGAACTTAGGATTTCTTAACTTAAGGCTTTCGGAATATGAGTTTTGTTCCTATATTTCGTGCTAGTCATGCCTTATTTTCAGGGTGTGACATTTACAATCAATGTGTCCTTCAAATGCCAAAAAAGAGAGGGTATCTCTGAGGTTAACTTATTAGTATCCAAGTAAAGTTCTTGTAGGGAGGTAACATTCCTATGGGATGCGGTATTGACCCAGAAAACTTGTTCCCACTTAGATATAAATATGAAAGTCTTGAGATTCCACATAGCTCTTCAATGATGGCGCCATGGAGCTTATTGCTTTCAAGACTCAAATACTGAAGATCATGCAAGCTACCAATTTTTGTTGGAATTGGTCCATTCAAAATGTTTTCTTCTAAAGATAGTTCGTATAAATTAGTGAGATTCCCATAAGTTGATGGAAGACTACCTGATAAAAAAATTGTTAATGAGATCATTACATAACTTTTCAAAGCTGATATGTTAAAAATATTTGATTTGTCTAGTGACAACTGTAACAAGTCAAGCTTACATAGATTTCTTATTTCTACATATGTACTAAATATAGAAGTAAAATAGCAATTGAAGTTTAGTAAAGTTATATTTGAAGTTACTAACAAAAATAATGACAAAGATAAGTAATTAACTTCATATACCAATGGTGTTTGCTTTAATGTTAGGTCACAAATGTCATCACCCTAGATTTTACCTTTCAGTTCAGATATATGTTGTTGAAGCATAGTCAAGTGTCTATTGCCTCCTAATATGCAGCTAGAAAGCTCATTAAAATTTAAATATGGCAACCAAGGAAACCCAAACTAACACTACTATGATTGCTTATTTGTAAAATTTCTTATTAAAAGAAAAATGATTAGTACTTATAATTTAATGTAAGGATACCTTTTAAGTTATTGTAACCAAGATTTAACATTTGAAGCATAGTTAAGTTTCCAATGTCTCCTGGTAGATTTCCTGCAACAATAGAAAATCATAATGCTATTACGGTTAAAAATCTAGATGTTATATTGAATGAAAAATGAACAACAGTTTTGTGGATACTTTTTATGTTATTTGAAAGTTATTTTATAAATTCAAATTTTGATATGGTATAATAAAAGTGAGGGTACAGAATAATGCATGGTGACAAGCTTTTATTATCCTGGAATTTCAGGAAATGGTTGGCTAAAAGTGATGGCATGTGGAGCTTTGTGGAGATGGGTTGCTATATATATATATATATCCAAAAATGGTTAATCAAGATATATCCAATTAATGGGTTTATACAAAAAAAAAAAAAGTATAACTAATGACCACTTTAGGTTACCCTTTAAGAGGAGTAATCACCTTCGATAATATGATAGTTATTGTTCAAAAATTCAGCCGTTTAAAGTAGATCATATATTCCCTCTAGACCACAATATAATTCATTGTTAAATAATTTATATTTTTAAAAAAATTGGTTAAATACTGATTTTTAAAAAAATTTCACATCTTTCCAATTACTTATTTGCCCTTGAGTAGAATGAATATAACATTTGACTTATCCAAAACACCCTCATTAATTGCTTGAGTGAAATATAATGAAGTAAGGGTATAATTGAATACACACACACAATGCCTTATATTTGGACCAAGCAAGGTTTCTAGAAAACACTATATATTATGGTCTGGAGGGAGTATTATGTAGAAGAGAAATGGGTGTCCCATGGCATTCGTGTGGCTTAGGAACCTAGCTTGAGTAAGGCTTCTCCTTTACAACTAGTTAACGCTACTCGATGATATGGAGAAAATAAAGAAAATAATATGTCTCAAAGAGTTTGATTTTCCATTAGACTATAAGGTAAAATGAAAATAAAAAATTAGAACTAAAATTAAATATATTGAAAATAATTTTTGTCCAAGTATATTATTGAGGTTCATTTACGAGGCTACAATCAACAATTAGACAAGTTTTTTGTTTTTTTAATCATAGGTGTTTTATTTAGTATATCATTGTCATACATCAGAGTGGAGGATGGAATTGGGGCGGGTTGGCTGCAATGATTCTTAGACAACTGAGATTTAAAAAATATACGAATTAATTTTATACTTACTAAAACGAAATACCAAATTTTTATTTTATTTTTTATTGTTTTGTCCTACTAGATATTTGAAGTCATGCCCAAGCAGTTGACGGCCAAGCAATGAACAGCAAAGATAAAAGTCAGCTGGTTACTTTATATTTTTTTTTTCAAATTAGGTTTAATATATTCTCCTGGGATTTTGTTTATTTTTGTAACTGTAATTTATTTTGTCATGGAGGATTTTCATTATATTGAAAATAAGAGATATGAAATTCCAATTTGTTCTATGGTCTGTATTAATATTAGTGCACAAAAGTGCAATCAAAACATATATGCTATGATTAAATTTAGAGATTTGATGCCTTGGGTGATACATACCTGTGAACGAGTTCCTTCTAATTGCAACTGTTTGAGCTGCTTGCATTGTATCCAACTAGATGGTATAGCTCCAAATAATTTGTTGTATCCAAGATTCAAAAGTTGTAATTTTGAAAGTCCATGACATATATTAGAAGGAATGCGTCCCCACGAATTATTCGAACTTAGATCAATTTTTTGCAACTCTGATATATTGAAGATAGTTAACGGCATTTGGCCAGAAAATTGATTCTTTCCTAAATATAGAACTCTTAGGCTTTTAAGATTACCAATCTGTTCAGGAATGTCTCCTGCAATGTGATATCAAAATGACTCTCGTCAAATTTATTGTGATCAATGAAAAACTTCTTATTCCTCCTTGATTTACAATTTCGAATTCAATTTACAGCTGCAATAAACTAGGGGAGTTAATTTCAATAAAGTGACATATAGCTTTGAATAAAATAAAGATGGTAAACCTATAAGTGGAGTTATTGTACAATGAGCATGATAATCAATAAAAAAACCAAAATTTATAGTGATGAATCAAAATATAATTTTTAAGGATGCAAATAAGTGGAGAAAAAATTAAAATGCTCTTGGACCCTAATGAAGTTGCAAAAATTTATTGTCTTTTGGTATTTACCTCTACTTCAAATAAAATTATATGTTCAGAGTTTTTGGTTTGTGCAGAGTTGGCAATTAGAGACTATTAGACCGAAAGAACTTTATTACCACAAGAACTTATATGTTAAAATATGTCACTCGTATCTTTATTAGCTAGCTAAATAGGCATTGAAAATTCACATATTCAATTAAGATGAAAATACTTTTTCAGAATCATACATATTTAATGAACCAACAAAAGTGATAACTGGTAAACTTCAACTTGTTTTTATGTGTGGCCAAAAAAACTTTTTTAATCACAATTAATTAACAACTACAGGAATAATTAGCCAAACATATTTGTTTAACAATTATTTTTCTTATATTTTCCCCAAAAATTGACTTTATTCCAAATAAGTAATGGAAAAAAGAGAAGTCATGGCAGTATTAAAAAAATGATGATGTGAAAAAATAAAAGAAGATAATGAAAATGTTGAGATAGAGCTACAAAGACATAGACAATCCATAATATATTAGTTCAATATCTCTCATCTCTTTATGTAGATAATTAAAAGGAAACTCTTCATGGAATTGTGAACGAAATAACAAGAAGAAAAAAAATATATATCGGGAGATTCAAAAGAAAGAGCATGGAGTTGGAGAGGCAAATCTTCATGAAATCAATAGAACAATATTAATTATATGCTTAGTCTTGTTTTTTAGCCCAAAAGATTGAGGTGATTAACTAGAGTAATACTTCTATTTGATGGACACTAAAGTTTTGCAAAATTTTGCAACATAATTCTTGTGCATGTGAACCACAAATTTGAATGTGTAGTTGAGGGCTATAAAGTACAACAATTAAAGATGGTGAAATATATAAATGTAAATAATGGCTTTCATGTTGCTTTCAAGAGCATTAGAATGCAGAAAGCAAGACAAAGAAAACGGTGTGGGTTGTGATGTTAATGGGTTCATATGTTTAATTTTAGAAGATCACCCGTTTTCTTAGGATTACTACTTGTGATATGATTAAAACACTCAAATGAAAAGGAAAAACAGAAATAAAAAACAAATTTTCTAACGGTGCTGATAAATTCATTTAAAAGGTTAAAAAAGTATTAATATTATGTTTTGATGAAGGTTTGCATACCTTGTAAATTATTCACAGCGAGGTCTAACTCTTGGAGCATATTCAAACTCCCAATTTCTCTTGGTATGTGGCCGGACAAGTTATTATGAGCCAAGAACAGTATTTTAAGACTTGTAAGATTACAAATTGATCTGGGAATTTCTCCTGCAATATGCATGACAAGATAAAATAAAAAAAAAAAACACACATTATTATGAGTGGTAATGCATAAATAAATCATAGTGAAAACAAAATTGAGTAAGTATTTTTTTTTTGAAAGCATTTTTCTACAACTAGTCTTTTTTCATAGTTTTTTTTTTTTAACGCCCAACCATGCATTGCAGATCATGCAAATGCAGCCCATGTGATAAAATAAATAAATAAGGTTGTTGCATGCTCCCTTTTCCCTTTTACCCCCAAATTAAGTTTGGGGAGTGATTGAATCAAAATATAAGCTGTTGTTATTATAAAAATATACTCTTGTTTGTCTTTCAAGGCATTAAAATTGTAATTATGTTTGAAGCAAAAAGGTAGACATTAATTTAAATTAAAAAATGAGAGAAATTGTGTTGACACAGCTTGACTGCACTATTATTCTTATATTTTTTTTCAAAAATTGGTTTTACAAACATGCATGTCAAAACCTTCTTGAGGCATGTTCTAATTAGCATCAGTTAATCAAATGATAGTCAAGGGAATTTTCTTTTGCACATAATTGATTTTTCTTGGAAATATAATTTCTTGTTACGTGTATGGTAATTGAAGAAAAAAAGGAGCTCATTTTAGTACTGATGCATGATAAGATATCAAAAAACAAAAAACAAAAAACAAAAATAAGTAGCACCTTTTGTTTTCTTGTTGTACTGCATGATGCATTCCTAAAAATAATTTGCAGTTATTTTTTTAAATTCATAGGCAATATTTGTCTTCATGCATGTTGAAGTGCAATACTCTAAATATACAAAGATATATTAAAACAGTAAAATAATTGTGAGGAACTTGTGTAAACCATCACTGTACGTATAATCTAAAATAATTTTTTTAAGTTATTCGACAAACTATGTATTAAAAATTAAAGAATAAAAGAAAATATATAAAAGCCAAAAAAGCCATACTTATTTTTTAAGTAAGATTTACATATTTTAAGAATGAAGTATAATATTTTAAAATTTTTTAATTTATTGTCTAATTAACCTGTACATATATAAAACGAATATAATTTTTTTTTGTTTTTTCCATATATCTAGCTATATTATTTTTTCTTCATGCGTCGATCGAGCGAATTGTTGAAAAAAAAAAATGACAAGACTATGTTCCAAGTTTTATATTCAAATTTCCGGTACTTAAATCTATCTTGTGATATTATATATTCTTTGGGATATATTTCTTGCTTAGATAAAATGGGAAAGCTTTATCATATTTTCATTGAATCAAAGCTCTTTTTAACAAAATATGTAAGTGCTGCTCAATTTTTTTTTACTATTTCTTATTTTAATTGAATTTTTCAAGATTGTATTATTCATTTGACAAACTAAAAGGTGCGGGGTTAACTAGTAAACTTAAACTTGTTTTTATCTGGCCAAAAAAACTTTTTGCCAATTATTAAACAACTATGATAATGATAGGACACTTACTGTAGTTCAACATTGATAAATAAATCCATATACAAACACATTTCAATTATTATCTCCAATTTGAAATTCTAACTAGGGTCTAAATAATAATGATGTAAATAATAACTTTCACTTCAGATAAACTTTATATAAAAAGATTATATATTCAACATCATTCCACAATTCTCCCTTTAAAAAAAAAAATTGGATTTCCAAACAAGCAACAAAGAATGACATCTGAGATTGAGAAAATTAAAGATGATGAAAATAGTAAAGGAGAAGAAGTTGAGATAGAGCTAAAAATTAAAAGACACAGACAACTCGTAATCTGATGGTTCAATTAAAAGGAAAATCTTCATTGAATTGATGAGTGAAAAATAAATAGAAGAAAAAGAAACTATTGGAAGACTCAAAGGAAAAGAGCACAGATTTGGAAGGGTAAATCTTCATGTAATCAATAACACTACCGCATGCCTACCTCTATTTTGAAATCTGAAAAACAAAGTAACACAATTCTATATTTGATGGCACAAGAATGTTGCAGATTTCACAACACAATTCATGTGCAAACCACAAATCTAAATGTGTAACTGAGGGCTCTGAAGTACGATGATCAATGATGGTGAAGATATGAATGTAAATAATGGCTTTCTTGTTGCTTTGCAAGAGCATGAGAAGGTAGAAAGCTAGAAATAGATAATGATGGGTTGTGATTTGAATGGGCTCGTATTTTTAAATTTGGAAAATCACCCAAAATTCCGTAGGATTATTGCTTGTGATATGATTAAATAACTCAAATGAAAAGGAAAGAAAAGAAAAACAAGTGTTTTTAATGGTGCTGATAAATTTATTAAAAATTAAAAAAATTGAAAAAAATATAAATATTATATTTTGCTGATGGTATATCCTTTAAATTATTCCCACTGAGCTCTGACATTTTGAAGCATATTCATACTCCCAATTGCTTTGGAAATATCTCCTATAGTTTAAAAAATAAAATTTCCAAGAAAAAAAAAACTTATACTAATAGATTTTAGCATCATAATAAAACTATAAACTCAAATACCAATAACAATTAATGATGACATGATCACATGAAAAGATATGGTCTTAGAAAATTGAACTGGACCAGCAGTTTACTAGGTTGAATCAAAACAAGCTCTTGGCCCATTCCAGTACAATAGTCAAAACTGGACTTTGAGTGAATCGGTCAATGGCTAAAAAGTGATATAATGTTAAAAACAAATTCTTACATAATATATGATGTGGTTAATTATTATGTATTACTAAGAAAAAACAAACTCAATAACCTAATTTTGAAGTCGTTTTATCTTTCCTACGCCTTTGACCTACACCTCAAATATAAACAAAACTTGGCACTGTGTATTGTGGAATATGCTTACCTCTGTTTTTTAGCCCACAAAACAGAGATGTTGATTCTGTGTTATAGGGACTAAATTTTTCTATTTTCCAATTTATTAATTCTTGTTTACAGTTTAACGGAAACAGCTAAAATGGAGATTTTATATTTTAATATTGATGTATATATTAACATTGTCACACAAGTGATTATGCTCTGACAGATAAAAGAAGAACGAACGGGAATAAAACAATTGATAGCACCAAACTATCATTTATTAATAGTATATCAAGTTTCCAATGCATCTTTATGTTGCCAAGCAATTAATTAAAACCCAAAAATGAAGTCATATTAAC